GTTAATATTATATTTTTTAAAGTCTACTACAGCTGTGAAGTCAATCCAATCCTATGTTGTTATAATTTAACAGTCAGGAAATTAATTCAACCCTCACACTACTTTAAAAAAATTTCTTCACATCTTCAGTTTATGAAGACAGTAACTATACTTTAACTTTTACATGAATGACAATTTCAAGTCATCTAATACATTTTACATATTTTTTTACTGTACGACAATTATAAGGTCAACATAATCCTACTTTTTTTATTCATAGTTAACAATCTTACTATTTTTTATAACATGTTTATGTTACAGGTTCATTATGAGTCCACTTCTCAAAATAAGGAATACACGGCAGTTTCAGAACTACAGAAACATTAGCCTAATTATCATCCAAGCAAGGTATGCTACACACTCTTCTGCACCAATTGAAGCCTCAAATGGAAGTAATACTTGCATAGAACAAGTAGTTTTAACCTGAGGATAATAGATCAATAATACATCATGTACTTGATGGAACTACACCATAATTTTTACCCACATAAATAAAAACAAGAATTTCCATCACAACTGTAACTTTCATGAAATTCAGCAAGATCTTAAGAAACAAATGAATCTCCATAAAGATTACAATCCATCTCCTCAAAACAATGTTATTTTTCATGGTCCTAGATGTATGCAAACTAGACTTTAAATACAGAGAAAGAAAGAAGGATTTAGGCCTACAAGATGAGGTGTTACTGCAGGATTCTAAGATCTCCTACACAACATATATTAGACAAATGATTTAGTCCCAGCAGATATAACAGAAGCCTCTTATTTATTATAGTCACTGGGAAGTTTGTCCAATCCAAACATGGTGGGAATATAGATTAAAATATATTTCATTCCCCTTTGGAGAATGAAATATAATCAGGGGCAGTCAGAAAATTCTGTTTCTCTTCACCCCACTGCATGATTTGAGATTAAGTGGTGCCTAACTTTGAGAATTTTAGATTACTCTGAAAGGCCATTGTAAAGTGGCACAAGATGGCATAGATTGTCCATTAACAAGAGCCACAGTCCAAATTACCAAATTCTACAAGGTTCAGAGGATGGAGAGAGAAGAAAGGTTGACACAGATCACATGCAAGGTCAAGTGCCTCATAAGGCTTTTCTCATATTTTTCTCTAAGAGAAAAGGTTGAGTGTAATTCAGCAGACTACATCACACACTTGTCCACATGACGACACTGAAAAAGTTGGCAGTGGTTTTTACTGGACATTTTTGTTACTTTAAATTATGTTTATAATTAAGAAAAAATGCAAAGACCATTTAAGGAGTCAGTCGTTTCTCAGACACATCAATATTTTGGTAACTGAAGCCAATGTCTGCTCTGGGCATGATTAACCCTGTAAGACCCAGCACATTCTTTAAATTCCTTTCTGTACATGTCAAAAACTGTTACTGAGTAACATTCAAAATTTAATTAAACCACTTTACTATCAATGTATTTTAATACAATTAGCATTATCGAGTATGTTTTAAATAAAAGTTTTATATTATCCAAGATATTATTCCTTTTTTTTTAAAGAAACCTATAAAACAAACAATTAAAACTTCAGTTTTTTGTGATGTGAAGCAAGTGCAGTTAATAATATATTAGCTTTGGTTTTTTTCTATTCCAGCTCTAGTGTCTATATACGTACAAGTTTTGCCCAGATGATCTAAGTATGCATATACAGATTTATTACATCCAACTAGATCAAATTTCAAGAACCCACTTCCTAGACTCTCACTGTAAATGTTCTCCCCACTGATAGCAGCCATGCCCACTTTTAAAATTAGAAATGGCTGTTGCTTAGCAACAGATTAGGTTTGAATGGCATGCTTGTAACCGATAGAAAGAGTAGATTTCACACTATTATATCCCAATGTTATCTTCAAACTGACGCCATATATCCCTTTATAACAAAATGAAACAGGTACTGTTAAAGATCAGCGTACCTACACTTGACTATTTTTTCTCACCTTATACATTGGTTTGATAGACAGTTAAATTGAATTTCCATTTTACTTTATATCTTAGTTAATTATGTATTATTTGCATTTTAAAATTCATATTTGAAAGGTTTAATAATTTTTTAATACATTTTAAGCTTTGCTTCGCTCTGCTAGTATTAGAACACAAAGTGAGAGCCAAAAGTTTTGCAGAAAGCTAATGTATGTCTGCTGATGATAGCATTATATCATCCACTGACACCTGTTGACATGTGTCAATATCAATAACCAACAATAGAGAACAGGAAAGGAAAATAAAACATTAAAAATAAACAATAAGTGAAAAGATAAAGACGTGAAATTATGCATATGACCTAAAAAAAGATATTTTAAGATTATTCGATGAAGAGTTAAAAGGTATGTAAATATTTCCATTTCATAACTTTAGACATTTCATTGCATTTTACATTGATGATAATAGTTAGAGTTAGTGATATGGTAGAGAAAATTGAAAATAATATAAACATTTACCTTAAAAAACTTTTCATATTCATTTAGAAGGTTCTAGAGATTATGCAAATGAAATGTGAAAACTGTAAGATACTAAATAGTGTTTTTACACTTAACATGTAAATCACCTTGAAGGTGAATATTCAGAGTCTGAGTGTAAATAACTACATTAAATAACAAATTTTTAGTAAAAATAGCAGAAAAAATCTAAATTAAATATTTTATTTTTCCAAAACTACATATTTTTAGGAAAGCTCTTGTCAAATTTCATCCACTAGTTTCATTTTTGGAATGGAATATAAAGAGAGCAACATTACCTACACACACTGTGCGTAGATGGGTCTCATAGGGTTAATGTGTTCCTGATACTATTGTGGTACTTCATCCATAAATAAGCAAACCAGGTCTTTTCAATAATTTCAGATCTTAAAGAATCTGCTGCGTTTGAATTTTTTAAATATAGATAAACATCAGTTCAACCTATATGCAAAAACATATTTTATAGACATCCATAAGGTGAATTGCTCTAACCCTCTCTTACAGTCATCCTTTACTGTACATGTCACAAGGTCTTTGGTGAGTTACATTCAAAATATAATTAAACTACTTTTTGTTCATGTTATACTAATTACTATAGCATAAAATCATAACTAATAATACATATGTTAATAGTATCTAAGGCAATATTAAAAAACAATCCTGAATTTCCCCTAGTGTGAGAAATGTAACATTTTTTCTCAAGGCATCCTCTCTTCTCTAATTTATTGAACATCCCTCCAATAAGTATGAAATTTAAGATACATTACTCATTGTAATATTGTCATCACTCGGTCATAGTATAATTTTCATAGCCATCTTGTTTGGTCATAGAGCCATCAAATACAAAATCAGAACACTTTTGCCACACCCACCTATCCATCCTCTCTTTTAGGATTTGTCAAAAGTTCTCTCTTTCTATTGATTTATAATCAATAGAAAGCCAAGGTTTTCATCTATCAAATGACATATTATATTACATTGTTTTCTGTACAGAGAATTGTTAATTTCTCTTTTTGTACAAGTATGTTCTCACAGAAAATACATTGAGTAGCTTGGATGAATTTATAACGGCTTGTCACATAGTTTGAAAGACAGAAAAATTGAGATAGTTATGACACAATATCTGCTTTTTGGATGTTATTATTCTATGTTCCTTGGTGCATTATTTAATAAAAATTATTTAGTGCACTACAACCATTATTTTAAAAAAAATAGGCTTAAGTGTCAACAACAGTTGACAGCAAAAAAAAGGCCCAGGTAAGTACTTTATTTCTTGTTTTTCATGTGTATTCTTTATTTATTATTATAAAAGTAACTAAGATATAAAAATAGGGAACTCTTTAGGTTACTTAAGGTTAGATTAGGTAAAATAAATAATAATAATATAATAAAACATTTTCATGAGGCAAGCACACAAGCAGCTCGGAGCAGTTTGTGGGTAATGTAATTCGATAGCATAACATGAGCCACACATTCCCCAAATGATTTACAACTCATAATGGCATGAATAGTAGTTAGACATGGTTCAAAGAGCAATAAAACAATAAAATTTAAGGATAAATAGATGTATACTGTTACAGTTTAAAGCTACTTAGGATAAACAAATGTAGTTTCATGTTACAATTTGAAGTCATTCTAGAAAGATAAAAGGGTAATTTAGATTTATTTATATTTTTTTCTTTTTTTGGTGGTTACGAGGTCAGTCAAATTAAAAGTATAGAGTTATGGTAGAGAAAATAACATATAAAATGTAAAAATTTACTGAAAACAAACAATTGAATTATATTTAGGAGGCTTCAAAAATAACACAAATGAAATTTGAGATTTTTGAGATGAAGAAAAGTATTTTTAATATCACCTTGCAATCAGACTAGTAAAAAAAAAGACTCAACATATTCATGGACAGATTCTTATTAAAAATACTTCACTAAAAAATCTGATTTTTACATGTAAAAGACGTGTAATGTTTACTGAAAACCTGTCATATTTTGTGAAGATACACATACCATATTAAAAGTTAGTGGTATTGAAACTAAAAAGCACAAAGTGGTCACATGGTTGTTCAATTCAACCAATTCTGTGTCGAGAGTTAATGAAGGTATAAAATCTCAAAACTTATATCAAATTTACTTTCATCAGTTTTTCACAGCATATGTCACTTTACTGTTAACTGAGAGACAAAGTACAGACTCTTTACAAATGTACTTGCATCATATCTCTAGAATAAACTTAAACATTCTATTCACAATATTTTGTATAAACAGGATGATACTTAAATTCATATTACACATGACAGTAATATTTTAGCAATACAACTGTAAAGAAGAAAGGTGAAATGCATCCAGTAAACATTTAATCACAAAGTTTTTGTTAGTAAGACATTTTAAGATTAAACACTACATATATATTTTGAATATGATTCAATGGTCTGTATGTGTCATTTGAAATCTACATAAATATATGAAAAAGAAAACCCTTATTATCACCTTGGTTTGTCTGAGCATTGACATCAGCTGAATGGTCAATAAGTAATTTAACAATATCCACATGACCTGCACTTGCTGCTTCCATTAGAGGTGTGGTATCTTTTAAACCACGGTCTTCAACGCTGGTCTGCATGAGAAGCAGCTGCACATACATTAAAATGAAATAAAAATACTGTTCTTAACACAAGAAGTATTAAATTGTAAAACATAATAAAGTAACTTTCAAAAGTTACCTTTGATTTTTAAGCATATAATGTGATACTAAAAAAAATTATTCCTATAAAGATTATCCTAAAATGTCATATTCACCTTAATCATCACATATAACGAGTCAAAAGTTTTGTACCATACACTAATGTTATTTCTTTTTTGTTCCAGACTGATAAAGGTGACAAGACAGCTTGAAAAACTGTCTCGGAAGAATACTATCAGTAATTTAAATTAGAAAAATAACAAGAGAAACTACCATTTTGAGTGCAGGTTTTATTAATTAATCAAAAGAATTACACACACATACACTTCTAAACATTTTTTTTTTCATGTTAACATTATTCATCAATTTATATAACAGTTCTGTTAAAGAGTCTCAATGAAATTTTTCCTTAATGAAAATGTTAAGAGTGTCTTAAAACATTCACCAATCACTCCATCCTTCCTTTTCATACTTTGGAGTTTGATTTCAACTGACCACTATCAAAATTCAAAACAATATATAATTCCCCCTTTCTTAAACACTAAATATTACCAAAAAAAAGATAAAGAAGGTGTTGCATTTAACTATTGGGGTTCTTATTTTAATAAGTGGGCAAAACTTGGAATTCATTCACAGTCTAGACTCATTTACTAACACCAACCATTGGTACACATCTAGTGGAATAGACTGCCATTTCTTTTTCAAAGCACCTTCAAACATAGGGAGATTTTGGGCTCTGTCCTTCTGTTCCTCACAAACCACTTTAAAATGTTCCACAGGAAACTACAAGGAGCTAACTCAATCACCTTACACAGCTGTTTTCAAACCCAGACCCTTCCATCTGAAGCAAGTGAGTAATGGAATTAATCAGCCCATGTGATGTTTCTACATTATTTATCTCTCCAAGTTTAATACTAAATGCACCATGAAGGCTAAGACTACAATTTTGACTGTAATAAGTAGTTTACTGGCTGCAATACATTCATGAGCAATAAGCTGTCAGCTATGCAAGAAATCTAACAGTACAGAGCTTTCATTTCTTCAACACATTATCCACAGTGTATATTGGTAAGAGTATATAGGAAAAAAATGTCTTGGACACTCAAACCATCAGTGTTCTGTTCAGTAATTTTTTGAAGGTCCATAAGTAACTTTCCTAATGGCATCTTAACTATAACAAGTTGTCTGTCACAGCTGTTGACCTAATAATCCCTATCAAAAATGCACCATTGGATTTGCATGCAAATTAGGTTAGAATGGTCTTGTTATTGGCTGGAAGTGTGTTAGTTCAATACTTTCGGCAATGTAGTTAATACATACACTAAGGTTTGGTACCTTTTCCTTAAATATTTTCCCATTACGCAACACTATTCTTCAATGACATCATCATTCAAACAATTAGTCTTCTATAGCATGTCAATTGAATCAAACAACAACATGATAAGTATTGGAAAGCATGAGGAAGAGTGATGCAAGTACTTCAAAAACAAGTAAATTATAAACTTCTGCATCATCTCTGTTATAATGTTCATAGCATGTTATATAAAAATTAAAAATAGTAATGAGTCAAGCACCATAAAAAAACTCTAATGTACAATTTTAACTATCCAAAAAGCCACTGAAGGATTCACCTTTTTAATTCAATGTCAAGATGAAAGGAAAAGAAAGATGTCAGAACTTCTTGTGTCTTTTTTTACTCAGTGAAACATGCAAAAAAGGTTGTTAAAGGACTTTCAGACCTGTTAAAGAACACCCATGTTTTGCTGACTACACATGCTGATGATTGGGGGCTGATAGCAATCTTTGTGCTAACTAATATAAAACTGAAATGTTTAAGCAATATCATTAATGCTTTAGAAACCTGAAGACATTTCCTTATAGCAATCCCAGAATGAGTCATGTGTCTCCTGCCATAAACTTTTAACAGACAACAGTGCTAATTGTGAGGAGTCATCAATTTCCTTTTCACTATATCTATCTTCAACCACATTTGATTGTGAAGTAGATGGTCAATGCTTTATCCATCAAACTCTGGTTCACTGTTTTCTTGCTCTTTGAAAAATGCTATTTTAGAGTAACAATCAAATAATGTAGCTATGGCAAAAATTCATATTACTTTACAATTCAAGGTTCAAGCACTTCTCTTTCATGGATGCTTTCATTATTCCCAGTCCAAGATGACTCGTGTTATCCTTCAACAGATATTGATGAAGAGTTGCAAAGCTTCTGAAATTACTAAGCTGTGAAGCTAATGTTCTTAGTAATTTTTTCAAATAACTGTATAAATTTTAAGCATCTCTCCAATATGAATCAATTGTTATTATTGAGGTCGAAAATTCTGTTGTTAGTAGCCCAGAGATATATTTCTCTCTTCTGTTCCAAGTCTTTACAGGAGGCTGTGTATTGAACTGCATCTTTTCTGTACATCTTGAACAAGTTTCTTCTTAGACATATTTGGATCATTTGGGGTAGCCATTAATCTTAAACGTACTAAAGACATACAGTTAAAATGTGAAACAATATTTGCATTAACTGTTATAAAACCAATTACAGCTCACAGAGATTTCATAATCACAAGTTGTAATGTGTGGATGAAACACGATTCACTTGACAAAACCAGCATCATTAAATCCCTTCACAATATCTGCTTTATCATCTCTTATTAGGAGACAAATATTTTTCTTCTTGACTTCCCATATACATTAACAGAACTTCCAACATTTCACATATTGCATAACAAGTATGACTTTCAAGAAAATGCTTGACATTAAGATCAGCTTATAAGTCTATTTGCTCTGTAATCAAGTGTTCTGTGAAACTAATGAAGCCATTGTTTATTGCTGTGCATGACCACATATCTGATGTCAGAGAAATGATACTGATATTTAAAATTTGGCCAACAACTGAGTCTTACATCACAGATTAATATGGGACAATTTTTTTAGAGAAACAACTTTTACTTGTTAACTTGTATTATAGTATCAAATGAGCATACCACTCATCAGTAACAACTGAATATGGTTGGTTATCAAACTAAATCATTTCACTGACAGTTTATTTATTGTCACTTTCATTAATAATATTGGTTATACTAGTTAGTATATTGAATGTACTTACTTTTTATTTTCATGTGTTGTTCATTATTATACTTTATTATAAAGATTGTTTTGCATTGTTGGCTTAGAATTTGTATTTAGGACTAACCTAAATCTAACCTGGCCAAACCTCTTTAGATATTACTGGGTTTATGGTCCAAAATACTGTTAACAGTGAGGGTACCCAACTGATGAAACAGTCCATTCTAATCTTTATAAGTAGAGATGTAAGGAAAGTATATTTAATTAGCTATACTGATAATCAAGTTGATTATTAGTTCCACTCTAAGTACATACTTACTCTACGAAAGTTATTTTTATTTTTTAGCACAATGTTCATTAATGGTGCATTTTTTTTTGGTAGGCCTCCTGAATGGTTTGTTTCACAAACAACCTCAGAACTTGAGAGAACATTCTCCCCTTCAATAACAGACCTAGTATTCTTCAAAGTTGTTGCAAAATCTTATATTCTTAGCATGCTTATTTTTCAGATGATTGTGCTGCTTTCTCTTTTCCAAAAGAGAAGTTAATGTGCTATGCAAATTGAACTTCATTTTAAAATAATCAACTACTTCAAAGTAATTCCATACATTTTTTTAAATTTTGAATTACTAAATCCATGCCAGTGATAGTAATCACCTAAAAAAGTAATTTTCTCAGATGTGTGTGTGTGTGTCCACAATGCAAAAACTAAAAGTATGTGCATGTCTTGTATACTGATTATTTTTAAGACAACACCTACTAATATGTTAAACTTGCATATACTGCCAGGCATACTACAGTTTGAAATTTAATAAAAAAACATTATATGTCCATGAAAGACCACTGTTCACAAAACTAGCAACAACCTGCAAAACATTTACTGTAGTTTTCATGCCCTATACTTGAATTTTCCTTGTTCTATCATTTTCACACACACCATTTAAGCTATGCTTTCTTGCAGGCATTATGTGTTAGATTGATAAATCCTGGTCTATATATGAAATAATTTTATGCAGTCAGACAAAAACTCACATAGATATGACTTTATTTAATAAAACTACACATACATAACTTTATTTAATAAAACAACATGTAGACAACAAAGTAAAGTAATAGTGTATAGAGTATGAAACAGTTACAAATGTTTAGTGTATGCATGTTCACAAAATAATAAGTATATGGTTTTCAACGAACTGAGCATGCATATTTTAGACCTAAATAAGTTTAGAAAGCTCATAAAGATTGTATTTAGTGTATGTAGGGAAATTACATGCAGGTTAAGTGTTTTTTGTGTGAAATACTTTACAAATAGAAAACTAAACTTGAAACGAAGCCAGTCATCACATGATGACAATGACATCGTGCCATCATGTACCATACTCATTGAATTGAAAAGTTTGAATAAGCAAAAAACAGGTAAGGAGATTACGGATGGAAAAACCAATATGCAATCCTAACTTTTCTGACAAAGGCCTTTCTAATGATATGATATTTGTAGTATTTGATCGAGAAACTTGCAAGAAAAGTTTCAGACAGACAAATGCACGCATATTATTTATATAGCTTCTTTTCTCTTTGAAGAAAAATATTTTTGGCAATGTAGACTCTAGACAAAGACAACAATAATATGACAGTTCATTAGGAATTATTATATGATCCTTTATTATTGCATCTTACCCTATTTTTCTCCAAGGTTTCCTGCTTAATTTTATATTAACTCGTATGTCCTATACTTTTCAGTGTCCTGAGAAACTAATAAAACTGTTTAAAAAATATGTCAATTATTTGTCCAAAGGAAATTGGCCAGATATCCATTATCCAGCCACAACTATAGCTGGACAATAACTGAAATTTGCAAATCAATTAAATACAATTAATTGATTATTCTCACATGAGACTTAAATAGTTGTAATAATCAAAAATAGTAATCATCTGAAACATTAATTTTTAATAGTTGATTATTTTCATGAGTCATAACACTAATCGATTAAGCTGAATAACCTTGAATTAATTGAAAATAATGATAATCGTAATATTTCCATTATATGGACAGTTGGAATAATCAAAAACAGTAATGATTGAAAACACTAATTTCAATCAGTTGATTATTTTCATGACATTAATCAATTTAATCATAATTTGATTCTTCCATTATTTTACGTAACACTAATCGATGCTTATAGGTAATCAACTATATAGATTAATTGAGTTAATCACCAAGCTCTAGTCAAAACACTATTCACTAAATCTCTAAACTTGAGTTTATTTGTTTCCCACTTTTATTAGCAAAATAATGTATTTACTGTACATTTACAAAGTGTTTTCTTAATGGATATGTTTTTTGACAAACATTCCATACAAAAAATTTTCAGGTACTCACTTGAACAAGTTCATAGTACCCAGATAGGCAAGCTAATGATAACAAACTCTCGCCTTTGTCAGTAACTTCATTAATATTACAACCTTCACACAACAATTGCTGAACAGCTTTCAAGTCTCCCTCACTACAAGCTTCTGCCAGTGATCTTCCTCTACAGAAAATCAAAGACACATCACTTTCTTAAGTGGCAACACAATTGTAAACTTAAGTAAAATAAACAATAATTACTTCAACATTTTTTAAAGGTGTCTAATGATTTATAAAAAAATATTTACCACATACTTTATCCAATTTTAATTGAGTTTGCTTTTCCAATTTCATCAATGTAGTAAAACACAGTACCTAACTTCTGCATGTCTTTCAAAATTATGAAATTTTTTTTTCATCCCAGTTTAAAACATCTTATTCTTTATATGATTATTTTATTTTTAGTTTACAATTTTCAAGGTAAAAGTCTCTTGCACATAAAAACTTTGCTTAATAATTCTAGATTAAAGAATTGCATCACACCTCTTGATACATACCCATCACATGGAAACATCCCAGTTGTGTCCACCTTCCTCCCAGTAAGTACAGCTGCTGCCTCATCCAAAGCAGAAGTTACTGAAGTCAGGTTTCTTACAGCCCGTAAGCCTTCTGAATTGGAACACTGCTTATCAATGGCAACTAAAATAGTGAAATTACATATTACTAGTGTAATGTTACATGAATGCATATACACTTATGTGATTAACAAGTACACATCATAGAACCACCACTATTCAACACAACTCTTATCACGCATAAGGAAAGTTTTGTATTTTAAAGTTTTTAACCTGACAGTATTTACTACATCCAACTACATACAAAGTAATTTTATATCAACTATGGAGCCTTTTAATTTTTTAATTATAATAAAACAGATGAGTCCCATGAAGTTTTCTTTTTACACACAAATAACTTAAATTATGATTAAATATATATATGAACTAAAGCTTTTCTCAATTTGTTTTTAATGTGCTAATTTGTCTAAATTCGCTGTAAAGCCCGCAAAGCATCTTTACGCTATATCTTCATTTAATGATAAAAAAACATAGTTTTTGTCTGGTTTATGAACTCGTTGCTGTCCTAATTTAGGATCTTCTTTTTAATAAATTCTTGAAAATGTTAAAAAAGAGAGAGAGAGAGAAAGGGGGCCCAGCGAGGATGTTTGCCCCGGGGCCTGTGATGGCTCGTAACATTTCTGAATATACAAGACCCAAAAACAATATTTGTGAGTAAACCTAAACAATAAACGAGTATTTTTATTTTTAACTAGGTTTTCATGTTCATATACGTCCATTAAAACATTTTAATTTTGTTTCATAAATATATTGTTATTTCAAGTTTAGTTTGTTTCATTGCAGTTGTACTTTTGTTTATTGTGCCGAATAAATCGTGAGGTTAGAAGCGCGAACTTTGTATATTTGCTGTAAACTACCATGCTTGTTGGTGGTCACTTTCATTCAGTCCAGCACAGGCACATTTGAACATTACTGTAGATATGATAGTAAGAAAGCTTTTCGGTACTTGAATATCATTTCTTTGAACTTTTAAACAAATTTATTTCAACATATGTCCTTGTCTGTTGTTTCACTATACAGACAAAACTAATTGCCATTACTAGCAAATGTATGTAATGGTTTACAGTACAGGTGGTTTGAATAACACTGCCTGGCCCAAGTTACTTCATAAATCCTGTTAGAAGAGATTACCAAATGATACAGATACCATAAATTACAAAGAGAATTACTTTACAGCACTTAAAAGATTAGTCCTGGTCACATTCCTCTTATTATAGGCAAGATTTATGTTGGAATTCGAAACTTAAGCTCTTCAGTGTATTGAGACCCCAACTGTAAGAATGTCATAGCTTCCCCTGTATTATTGAGATGAATGTATTTAGTCTGTTTCACAACCCACATATGGGTTTTATTGTTGTCACTTGTACACTGAGTTGTAAACCATTTGCAAAATATCAGAATAAACTTTATATATATCAGTTAGACTGTTTTAATTCTAAAGCAACAACAACAAAGTGTGGGTCTTACTACAAGGTAAAGATAGTAAAAAGAAAAATTTTAAATTCTTATGTGGAACTGGTATTAGTAGTAGTAGTACGTACAAATCACACAAGTTTATCATTCTAAATACTGAATCTTATTATTATTATTATTATTATTATGAACTAAATATAAAATTACACTAAGTTATCAAACTTAAAACTACTAATTTAAATGCAAAAGAATATAAAAAATCACAAACTCTTTCAAGTTCAAAGTGCTAAGCCTAATTCACATAAAGACCTTGCACTCACCACTAGATAGCTCTTAACCCTAACATTCGTGGATGAACTTCTTTCCTAAAATGTATATCTATTTTGATTTAATTTTTAAATATAATGATTAATATAAATAGATATACAATACAGCATGACTTAAGCTACTATAGAAAAATAATAAAAATTACATACTTCCCATGCAGTTTTTTCTAGAAGCAAGTTTTCTAAAGCTTGTAGAAAAGTACAATTGATCAATACTAAATACAACCTCTACATAAAATGGCAGTTATTATAATAAGCACCATCCACATTCATATTGTAAAATCCATAGAACAATGTTTCGTCACGTGCTTTGCTTATCATGCTATGATTTGTCAAACGTGAAATACAGCGATTGGAATAACATGGTACTGAAATTGACACCTTCGACTAGGATTGGCTAAAAGTTTTACAACTGAGGTTTAACACGCCCAGACGCTGTTTCATAAAGACTAGAAAAACGTTTAGATACCAATCATAGATGGCAGGACCAGTGCTGAAGTGCAAGGAAAATTTTGTTTGTAATTTTGAAAAAAAATTTTTCTTGGAGGGTGCTTATTTATAGCCTCAAATGTATTTTGGGATTTTGTTTTATTAAATTTCTCTTTAAACTTCATTAAATAACACAATTTTGCACAAATAATTGAATGTTATGCTACTATTTACAAAAATAAAATCTGAAACCCAATAAAAGATAAGTTCTCCATACTTTTTTCAATTCACAAATATGATTTTGCCCTCACGATAAAACAAAATGGCCACGGAAGATGACGGGTTAAACAGATAAAAAAATATGAATATATTACATTTTATTTGCTTACTTGGTGATTTGGTCATTTTGTGATCATAAAAACTATAACAGTGCAAGTACAAACATATATATACACACAAACACGTGCATATATATAGAGAGAGAGAATCTGTGACAGTACATACACATTACACAAATGTGTGTGTGTGTGTGTGTGTGTGTACTTTATGATGTACAAACATCAATAAGAAAACACAATAGCCTTATGAGATCCATCAAAATTGGGATCAAGAAGGAGATCCCCACAATAAAAATTCTTTAAGACACCTGTCCTTCTCGATTTAACAGTACCAGCTTTTAAACCACATTTTTTCAATACTGACATGAAAGCAATGAATCTGCTTTTTGTGTTTTTATCATGAATGGTTCTGCCACTTTTTATTGTAAAATGTGTGGCTGTTCTCTACACCCCATATGATACAAATTGTGTCACACTGTAAAGAAGTATTAAAAAAATATGGGAGAGTTTTACTTGGAACTGGACATGAATAAAACCAAGATTAGTGTGTTTTTTATGAAAAGTTTTTTATATATATATATATATATATATA